GTGTATGTTTGGCTTCAGAATTCAGAAGGGTAGCGAATCAGAAATGAAGCTTTTGAGAACTGCTTCGTTTTTGCTTGGACGCTGACTCTTCATGATCAGCAGGCTCTGATCACAGATAACCCTTCTACCCAGAAAGCCTACGGCCTACAGCACTGTACAGCGGGGCCATGGCCTTCAAGCATTCTTCGGCGCGCTGCGCCCAGGCCCTCAGAAGCAGCAATTTTCAGAACGGTGCCGCCAAGGAAAACTTCCCTCCTTCTCCACTTGGAGCAATCGTTCAATTTCAGCATGTTAGATCGAGGTCTGTTTCGGTGCTAGGTGGGATTGACTCCTGTAGGCAGGGAGCCTTCCAAGGCCTGCAAAGGGGCCCTGTGTCCTCCGAAACTACTAGCATTGAGCTTCGAGGAACATTCGAGGTATGTATAGGATGCCATAGCTATGCAAAGCCTTTGATGAGACACTACTAGTGATTCTTCAGGCGTTTAGGTCTCTACATTGTTATCCTTTTCCTTGCTGGTGGATGAAACTCTCATATCTATTCGTGTGAAGCCGGAAGCTTGCGCCGCACAAGCTGTCCGCCAAACATGATCCTAAATCAGCAGCACGAGCAACCTTGAATTAGGCTCCCAGTGCAGTTGTTGTAGCTGCTGTCTTGTCCGGATACTTGGTCCAGAGTTGGGTCCAGAGAATCAGAAACACAATCTTATCCCATTTCCAGCGCAATCCTGCAGAAGCTACGAAGAAAAAAAAACTATAGCTAGAGGGAACAGCCCTCATCATCTCCAAATCTGAGCAAGTTGCTTGGCCAAAGCACATGCATCCTCACGAAGTGACTGCTCGTCACCTGTCTGATGAGTGCTCCACGGAAATCAGAGAGACTGAAGACAGTAGGAGTATAGGAAGTTTGTACAGAAGTCTGGGAGAATCTAGCTCAGGATTCTATACAGGCTATTTGAGACATTTCCGCATGGCTACCGTCTTCGACCAGACACAGTTGCAGGCTATGCCTATGGTTTAAAGCCCTCAATGAAACCCGCTTGGCGTACTACGTGCTGCAAGGAGACAGGGTGACATGTAGACGAACACTTACGGTGCAACAAAGCATCATTGTTTCGAGCTGACTTGCTTGGACCATGGGTCTGATTGCTGCTTGATAGTATCTTAGCATAACATTCATTCAAGCTGCAATTCCTACTGAGGGTCATAAGTATTGAAAAAGAGGGGACAATGTTGGGGGCTGCAGTCTGAATCCGACCTGGACCCTCAATGTTTGCAATCTCTGTTGAAAGATCTATTCCTATCGTCTTAATATGCGGGTTCCGGAGTCTCTCAGGCGGCTAGAAGCCAAGCTTTGACATGCCCAGCCAACCAACCGCAAACACCGGCATCAAATCGGATCGACGCTCGAATCGATTGAATCGGAACTGCCGTACACCCTCCCACCTCCCACCCTCCCACCTCCTACCTTCCCACCCTCCCACCCTCTCCCACCCTCTCCCACCCGCCTTCCCACCCCTGAGGTGGTGGGAGGGTGGGTGCAGGAGGTAGGAGGGTGGGAGGTGGGAGGTGGGAGGGTGGGAGGTGGGAGGGTGGGAAATTGGAGGAGAGCCGTAGATAGCTGGAAATCGAATCGATAGATCGATGTCGATCGAATCGATTCGGTCATGGCATGTTTGATTCCTTAAGATGAAGCGTAATCAACGTTACTGTAAGGCAGCTGTTCAGCTGGTGTTTTGTAGAAGCATCCTCTAAACATGTTCTTTGCATCCGTTTGAAAAAAGCGTGAGAAGAAACCGGAAAATGAGCACAACGACTATAAAACACTTGCTTCCGAAGCATCAGCGTACACCTGTCTGCACTACTCTCTGCAGGATTGATGCTCGCATACCCTTTCCCATGCCTCGTTTCAATTGCATGCCTCTAGTCAAAGACATGATTAATCGCAAAGGGTTATAAATGACAACTTGCAAACACAACACTCAGGAATACCAATGAGGCATCCTAAGTGGCTGTATAAAAAATTGAGAAGCCAGCAACCTTATTCTAGCGAACGGCAAACGAATCCAATGCGCGAGAAGCCTCACCTTCGATCGTACCACCTAAGCCCTGAGCCACACACCCTACTCTACTGAAACCGTTAAACCCATGAAATCCAAACTGCTGTGTGCGCCTCTAAGTGATGCGGCTCCACACAACTCTGCCGCTTCCTCTGGAGCCGATCAGGAATGGAAAATCATTTGAAAATCACACGGCAAGCAAATGGAACATTGAATCCAAACTGATACAGCGCTGAAAAAGGGGTTGTAGTTTCGGGAGAGGGGCGTACAGGCAGAAACTAGCATGAAGGATTATGCATTAGACGTATAGAGGTCTTAGAGGATGGAGATTACCACAATGTATAGCAGAGGCTTGTGTAATTCGCATTGGATGTTGGAGTGTAGCTGAGGTAGCTGCTTAAACGTATCCTGCCCACTGACATGCAAGCCCCATGCCTTAACCATGACTTCTTGGCATAGTTTAGCAAGGATGCTTGTCGGCAAGGCGGATTTCCAAATACCCTTGAAGCTCGTTGTAATGTTGCAGAAAATACAAGCTGGGCTGGGGAATCTGTGATTTGCAGGGCTTCCTGCAGAGTTGAAGCACGCTTGGGACTTGCCTTGCCTCATGGCTGCTGTAGCATCGCTGGAGCCAGTTCAAATTTGTTCCAATGGTTGCTATGAGAGCCACACCCAGCTCGCATGCATCCATCAAATGAGTCGAAGCCCAGCTTCAGGACCAGCCCCAACAAGGATCGCTAGCGTTACCATGACCTGCAAGTGAGCTCCGCGAAATGACATGAACCCTCGTGTCTTCAAATTATGAACCATGTATGTGGGTTCAGCCAACCATACCCTGAAGGAAGACCAAAACCCTGCCACATCCAAACCTGAACCTTCACTGCTCCAATAAAGTCCTTTGGCCTTAATGCTGCTCAGCAAGCCCTACATAGCCCTCAGCGCTCAAAACTCCAAGCCCTGAAACCCAAACTCACGAACTTTGGCAGAGCCCATGAGGGCGTGAGATCCTAGGAATTTGTGCACATCATATGGAGGTAGGGGCTATTTCGAGAAACACCAACACCCAATATACCATCGTAGTTTCCATTTCTTGTCCATTATCCCAATATCACCCTATGTAATAATCCCTGCATTAATTATAACTGACACCAATATATAAACCCGATTATAAGCTAAAGCAGCTCTGCCTGAGCCTGGCTCAAGGCCACTTTCACACTCTGAGGACGCGTGCTGCCGTCCTGTAGCAGAAGATGGGCTTAGGATGTGCGATTTAGGGCTGAGGGCGGAGGGCCAAGGGCTTAACGTCAGAGATAATTGTCACCTGTTTTGAATTATTAAGGCCAAAACGTATAGAAATATGTCTAGTAGGGGGTTCAGTCACACAAGCTACGGCCTCTTCGTCCTACACAATTGGCAACCCGCGTGCATGCAAAAGCCCAGTACGAATGTAGCAGGCAACTGAAGTTCTATGCGGTTTAGTTCTGGACAGGGGATATTCTCAGAATTATGGGCCGCTCTTGGTTAATGATGATATTACGGCACCTATAATATTTAGGGGTACCAAACAGGGACCCGAATTTTGGAAAACACTCATGGGGCTTGGGATCCGTGTAGACCTCATGGACCTTATGGTATGCTGTAGGATTTTGGCTGTGCTGTGACCCACGGAACTGCACATCAGTCCCCAAAAGCTGACAAGCTTAGCATCAGCGGAATGGGCGGCTTATCAAAAAAGGGGTGCTCTTTACAGCTATATAGCAATGGCAATACTGATAGCAATACTGGCAGTACTCGTAAGAATAATTAACTAGTATTGGCAACACACTGCTAGTAATTATTATAGTGATAGTAAGTTGTAAGTAACGGCAACCGTTCTGACAGTACTAATGCCAAGAATGAAAATGTGATAGGGACCCAGGAATGCATGGCATATGGTTCCAAGAATTTAGGATCCCTTTTTGGGGGACATTATATTGAGGTCCATTTTGGGCCCCTTCTTTTTGGGAACCTCCCCACATAAACATGTGCACTGCATATATACATACACACATAGGCCTGGCTGTATATAGAGTTATTAAGAACAAGTATAGCCGTTCCAGGATCCACGTGGACTGTGTTTTGAATACCGTTTATATGGTAGTTTCCAAAATAAAGGTTCCCTCATATAGACCCTGATATACTATGGTCCTTATTATGGAGCCCTCAAAACGGTACCACCAATTTTAGGAAACCCTTACATAGGCCGAGCCCACCTCCCTTGAGCAATCCGCATTCTTCTCTTCTGAGCGTTGCCACAAGATGCTGCAAAGCAGCGGGAATAGAAACAGGCTGCTCTTCTTCGCTGCAGACTCTGCTGCGGTCGCCCACATTTAACTCGTGCATTCTGTAAGACATTGGAGTGTAGGATCACTGCGACTGGCACAAACAATCGACAAGCCTATCTTGCGGTACGAAGACACTCTTATGTGCCCCGCTCTTTTGTGACTAGTCTGGCCTGTAGCCAGGCGAGTCTCCAGCGAAGAGCAGCCACGATCACAACTTACGTGCTGCGTTTTCTGTAGATGTTTGCCTTTAGAAGCGGCTCATCTACATAAAGCCATGACTTTGTGCTTTTTCTCGCTAGGCAAGATTCCGGCCGTGTTCCAAGCACTTGTCCCAAAAAACGCAGCTCGGTGTGCAAAGAGCGGTGTGCGCAAGCATCGCGTGCCAAGAGACGCATCTGCGTTCTGGGTAGGCAGGAGCACCACCACGCGCGAAAATCCGCTGAAAAGAAAATCTACTAGTAAAGAGAAACAGATATATTTGCACCCTTGCGGGATGTGGCAACTTTGGCCGCAGTACTGCGGCAGCCAAAAATGTGCTGAGCGCACACGCAGCATTTCAGCCACGCAAGAGAAAACTGCAGGATCCATACTGAAACATGCACAGCTAGGCGGTAGCTTGCTACGCAAGCTGCTGGTGCTTGAGATCGAACTGCTCTTCGTTGAGAAGGCCCTCATGTCTCAGCTGCTCAAGAAGCTCGAGCTTCCCAGCAAGGACAGCGGCCTGGCCAGCCTCCGCTTCAGCTTTCTTCTGAAGCTTCTTTGCTTGCGGGTCCTCCAAGCCAACGTCGATGCAGTGCTCCTCAACACCACGTCCGCCGCGGGGGTACTTGGAGACGAGATCCTTGTACTCATGCATCCTCTGGATGAGTTGCTCTTCAGACAAGTCATTCAGGTAGCCGGAGAAGCCGAGGGGCTTGGGGATCGGGGCGCAGAGGTTGCCGCCCCGTTTCTCCACGATCGCTAGCTGGGTCTTCCAAATCATCTTGTCATCGTCCATGACTGGGTGGTACAGCGAGAGCTCGCAGTCTGAGATGACTTTTAGGACTCTGTGCATCTCCTCCTCTGAAACCCAGCCCTCGATGAAGGAGAGGTAGGCCCCGAAGCCCATGCAAGTGCCCACCGCCTGCCCATGCAACATGCCAGCCGGCAGCTCATAGCCAGGGCACCAAGTGTGCCCATAAGCATGCGGTCGGCACTGGTGGGTCTCCCAAAGGTTGCCGTACTCGGAGCGGACGTAGCCCTCCATGGCCTTGCCGACAATCAGATCGCATACGTCCTGGAACTCAGCGTCATCCACGCTGTCTCCCTCAGTGCCGAACTTAGTTTGCACTGCCCTGACGCCATGCTTCTCTAGCAGCTCGAAGAGCGACAAGTCCTTCGGCACGGACAGGACATCAACTTTTCACCAAGAAACTTGCAACTTGGCGACACATATGGAAACCACGTCCCAAGGGATTGAGGATGTGGGGATCAGTGGAAGTACCTCTGAGGATTTCGTCGAGGGTTACCCCCGTCTTTGTCGAATGCGTGAAGGAACACATATATGGATTGGTTTGATCGTGGTTCGAGCCTCCAATCCGAGCGCTCATCAGTGTGACATGATTTGCACGGATTTTGTGGCTTGGCCCAGGCTCACCAGATTGGCTCAAGTAAACTGATATGGCTGTTTCTCACACCATCCTTACTTGATGATTCCTAACACGGCATCCCTGCCGTAGAATCTACGTAAGTCTCAACCGAATAAGGTTCCTGAGAGCACCCATCTTGTGAAGAAACCCCACAACCTAACGGATGGAAACTCCAACAAGAAGGCCGATACCGAAGCCTAGCATCTTGGCACTCCACATCTACCCACAAACGCAAATTGCAGGGGGAACCATGAAGGCCGCATGAATTGCAAGCATCTTACCCCAACTTCGCTAAGCACAGCTCTAACATCATGCAAACACTGTGCAAGCACGCATCCTCTAAACAAGGCCCTCGAACGCTCAACTTCTAAGCCTCACAACGTCACGGTTTCTGCGAAGTCCTTCATGACAGCCATCTTGATGATCTCTGCCACACCATGACGGAGCCAGCCGGGATGAAGAGTCTTCCAGAATCCGCGGTCTGTGATGGTAAGCACCGGCGGATGATAAGAACCTCACCCACAGCCGCAATGAACTCTATCTCCTACCTTAAGAGAACTTCCTCCGCAGGTTTTGACAACTGCAGCCCTAAAACAGGGGTCTCGGATAGGCCACTGGTGAATGGTCACCGCGTGGCGCCGTGGCGGATATGACAGTTTCTCTAATACCCGCTGACTCCATGGATGCTTGAAAGCTAGCAGAATGTTGCTTCTCTGGAGACGGGCCCATTCATATCAGCTTCTTGCTGTCGGTTCCCGTTATTGCTTCCCAAGTTTCACACGATGGTTCGATTACGAGGCATCTGCTGCGACAATATGAGCAGTGGTACAGTTTCTTCTCGTGTGATCTGTCATTTTGCGACCTCACGTCAACTTGTTCACCCGGGGTCAAGCGGAGCCCAGCACTGAAAGCACCACAAGGTGTGGGAATGATAATGAATGCTGAACTCCTTTTCTCCGGGCGTAGGCAACCCTGATATGTCACGCACACCTGCTGCAGCCGCTGCACACAGGAAGATACCATGTGGGATGCAAAAGAACGGACTAGTCGAGGATAAGAGCTGTATGTGCTAAGTCTCGCACCCACGAATCACAACATTCATTCAGGTTTGACCAAGTAGCCAGACGGCATGGTTTCTGTACCAGCTATCAACTACAAACTGGACGCTGATTGGCTGGTAGACGCCTCCGATTTACATATCTGGGAGGTTTGACCCTTACTGGTAGGGAAGCAAGCTCTCAATGCAGCGCAAGCGACCTAGGAGAGGGCCCCTGCAAAGTTTACCCAAAAGACAACTCGCTCCGCACCCTGCCAAGGAGCCGTACAGGTTCTTGTAGTCATAGCCATTGCAGCAGACTCGGGGAGAGGGGCCGGCATCAATACCGGACACGATCGATGTGCAAAGCATCACGTATGGCGTATTCCTGGAGTACCTGACAAAGTATATACATCTGAAACGAAGGTCTCGCGGGATGAGACAGACCACTCAAGGCCTATGGACCGCTTCAAATGGGCTTGCTTACCCTTAGAACTCTTGGTAGGGACCAGATGCCATCTGCAACCAGGATTTCGGGCGCACTGAGAAACACATACTATAGCCAAGGGGCAGTGAGGTGGCAAAGCCTGCAATGTCCGCAATCACGCCACCACCAATGACGAGCAAGGGCTCATGACGGCCTACCGAGTATTTCTTCATGGCTACAAGAATACGTTCGACGTCCTCGATGCCCTTGTCCACCTCATTGCCACTGAAGACAAGCTTGGTGAATTCAATGTTGTGGCTTGCAAAGTAGTTGTCAATCTCAGCACCGTAGTGCTCGTCGACCTTATCGTCCACAACAGCGACGCAGCGGCCCAATGGCTTGTACACATCAAAGAGGAGGTGGTTGGAGGGATCAAGGACTTTGCGAGCGATCTTGATTGTCGTAGTGATGGTAGTGCTCATGACAGCCTCGATGGTGGATGCATCCTGGGTTGCCAGGGTCAAGGCGTCGCACTGCCTGTAGATGGAGGTGGGGTAGACTGCGTGCGCATCGGCATCCTCCAAATAGGCAGCATTCTTCATGTACCTGAGTTCTTCTCCGCCATATCTCAAGCTAAGTGACCGCAAGACTTCTGGTCTAGAACAGGAGAGTAGAGATTCCATCAATAACTCGGTCGTGACTACAATTGCGATTCTCAGAATGGCAATAAGAATCCCCACAAACGACCCGCGCTTTTTGATGCAGCATCCTCCACCCTTGATCCCTAAATCATCCCAGATCATCCTTAAAGTGAAATCTAAATGCAGGTCCACAAAGATCATCCCAGATGCTCCGCGTGGATCTCTTCCGGCAACTCCTTGCTCACCTGGCCAGAGGTAACTTTCTGGCACTTAAGGAGTGGGCGCGTGAACATAACCATGAAATTCGAGGGGACTGTACTGGGATCCGCTCCCCACTATGCACCAGTAAAGTAGGGTTTGAAGGTATCAGGATTTAGCAAAGTCAGAAATTGGGACTGAAATTTCGGGTTTAAGGGCCCTGTTTGCCGCTACGCGTAGCTGTAAGCGCCACGAATGGGTTCTAGAGCTATTCTGAAGTGGGGATATTGAGGGTTGTAGAGAGTGTGGGGCTTCTTCAAACAATGGGTAGTTGTACGCGCAGCAAAAGCTACCATCTCATAGCATTCTTAACTTCCCTTGAAATGCTGCAAGACAACGTCCGATTATGCAGCGGTAAGGAATTCAACGGCAATAACCCTGCAGTGGATTTCCTGCATGACCCTCATTACCCCACACCTTGGGAATTATGGTGCTGTTTTACACTAATGTCATGCAGGGTTCTTAGTATCAACCCTAGGCTACGCCTTGGGAAAGAGAAAACCCACTTGGGACAGCTATGACCGACAGCCTTGTAGCAGAGTAACATGGAATTTGCAGTAGTGACTATACCTGCACTTATAAGATCTTGCCGCCGGAACACAATTACAGATGCGCCCACGTTTCGACTATTTCCAGAAAAGTATCCGGAAAACATACTACATGGCTTGTAATTGGATTTTACTTAACTCTAAGTAGATTTAAAAGGCAAAGTTCGGGCATTATTATTCAAGGCCCCCTAATGGAGATAGATCAATAGAGGGGGTAACATTATCCTCAACATCCTCGAAATTGTACACTACGCCACCTAAACAATTTGAATGTTTTTGGGACAGCTTCCTGCTCTTGGAACAATGAGGAGATCATGAAAGGATGGGTCTCCGCAACAAGGCTCTCCTTGTACGGTTCCACTTGGCTTCCTCTTTTGCTACTCAGTTGAAGCTCACAGGTAAGATTGCAAATCCAATGGCCCCAGTGCTATCTGCTTCCCCAGCAAATCCCAAATGCTTGCAGGAATCTGGGCTCCTTACCCTAGAAATAAGGCAGAAAAGGCCTGAATTTGCTGGATCATGTCATGCTGAGGCTACCTGCAACAGAATTTCGTGTACGGTGATTTTTTTTCCCCCAACCATTGCTTCCTGGTACTGAACTATCACCATGCAGCAGACTCCATAGCCTAATGTGGCGGCTAATGAATGAGAAGCTTGTATTGTGAAAACCTCATTGGATGTCCAGACCCATGGCTGAATTCCCGAGAACATATACCGTCAGCACGTAGCATGCGTAAGCAATCTGCACCCTAAACATCTAGTACCACATGAACCTGGCTTGAAACATAGATGTTCCTAAGCCACCGCTCGTACCATATGCTTTTTGAAGTACTTCAGCTTATGAATATGTATGTATATACATATATATGTATATCTGATATGATATATAATATGCGGGCCTGTCCAAGACAGAAGGTCCCGAATTTCAGCCCTACCCTGCGCCCCAAGCCGCGGCCTCCTTTACGGCTCGTAGGTGCATGGGGGATTGGCAAAACTTCTCCTCGGTGGCTCAGGGGTTGCAGTTCCGTCGCTTGAGACAAGATTTAGGGAGAACATTAGAGAGTTGGCAAAAGCACGTTCTCGCTCAACATGCTTGAGGCCCACACTGGACTTGCAAAACCAAGGAGGAGGATGCAAGTGTCCCCACACATGACCCTCCTCGTACGTAACTCGTTGTTGGGAGTGTGTACGTACTTTGAAGCCACGAAAGCCCACCCCCACCCATTTGTTCCTGCTTAGTCCTAATTGGATCCCTTGAAGCCCGGGACGCAATACATTCATGGAAAACCAAGCCCAAGAAGCCGTGAAGGCGTTGAAGTCGCAGGATGCCTTGATTGCGACATGAACCGTTGCTGCCACATGTTGCAACTGTCTTCGCTATAGTGGTACTGATACTTGTTATGCGAATGCCACTGTTCTTACTCTTGTTGCGACTCCTCTTAATTCCTGCTCTGCTCCTCCTACTACCACCACCACCACCACCGCCACCGCCACCGCCACCGCCACCGCCAGCGCCACCGCCACCAGCACCACCAGCACCACCAGCATAAGCACCGGCATCGGCACCGGCAACCGCACCAGCACGGCTACGATTCGGCTACAACTACTTTGCAACAACAACAACAACAACAACAACAACAACAAGAAAACAACAAAGAGAACGACGACGACGACGACGACGACGACGACGACGACGACGACTACTACTACTACTACTACAGTACTTGTTGGCCTACCAGGCGCGCGTTTGGTATCCAACGGTGGGTCCAGATGCACGACCCAGAACACTTGCATCTCTCTAAAACCATGACCCTTCTAGCACGGGAGGCTATTTCTGAAAGGCTTGGTCAGGTGCGCTGAAGACACATTGCCAGGCCTAACAATTCAGGTGCGAGTACAAGCGTGACAACCTTTCTAACACGAGAGGCATGTTTAACGTGTCAATGTCGTCCATGGTCACACATGCTCACAGAAGCTCAGCCTTGGAACACGCAAGTCACTATGGTTGGGGCACGGATGCACGTATGTTTTTGGAACACGACCGTCATTTTTGCTCTGTTGTCGGATGTTCTGGAAAATTATAGTTTGGGCACGGATGCTTTGGTGACCGTATGCTCTTGGAACACAAACGTTATAACGGTTTAGGCACCGTTGCTGTGGTGACCGCATGCTCTTGGAACACGGTTATGTTGGTTGGGGCACGGATGCTGTGATGTTCGTATGCTCTCGGATCCTGAAGATGTGGGACAGTGCTGGGGCCTGGGTCCATCTTTCTAGAAGACAGTTGTTAGTTGTGTTCGGTGCTTTCTTGTTGTCAGCTTGTCGCTCGTGTGTTGCTTGCCTGTGGGTTTGCTTGCTTGTTTCTGTGTTTGTTTCTTTGGTTTATTTGCTTGGTTTGCTTGTTTGTTTGTTTGTTTGTTCGTTTGCTTGTGTGCTTGTTCCCCGCTATGCCCTGACGCAACCTTCGCAAGTGCAAAGAAGATGCTGCAGGCTCTAGCCGGCTGGACAAGTTCGCCATCAGGATTGCCAGCTGGCCTTGTGGCTTGCGCTTGTAACCAGCTTTCAGCTTGACTGGCATGAGTTTTGCTGTTCTTCTCAGGGTTGATGATTTCAGGCTACGCCACCCTTGCTACTGGTACTTCTGAAATTCCGAGCAACAGGTCAGGTCCAATAAAGAGAGTACGTCTGCACAGAGTCTTGAGGGGGGGTCTCGAAGTGTGACTTGGAGTACCTTGGTCGTGCGGGCGCGGGAGTTCCAGCCTTACTTGAAGTTTCGGGGTAGTTGCAGGTGGGAACATTAGGAGGCTGATTGTGGTGAGTATTGTGTTGCCTGATTTGATTCCAGTAGATTCCCAACCGCACTCAAAGCTAGCCATGTCATTACCTTCAAGCAGGTTTAAGGTCTTGGGTCTCTGCACATGCCAAGAACCTGACAGCGATGAAAAGCAAAACAAGACACAAGCCACGAACCCCTGGGTTGGCCCCTAAAGCCCTTTGACAAATATTAGTATATAGGGTCCCTTATTAAAGCCTTTATGGAAAAGATCAAATATTTCAGGGGCCTACCCAGACCCTGAATCCCAACGCAAGGCAGGAGCCGTGCATGAAGTGTAAGCTCAGCGGCCTGTGTCGCCCGCTTCTATATGGGGGTTTCCCAACATTAGGGGTCCCATTTTTGGGGGTCCCCATAATAAGGGTTACACTATATTTGACTCTATATTGGGTCCCCCTACTCTGGGAAACTACCATATCTAGAGGCTCCATTGAGGGGTCATTAATCTGTAGTCCCTTGACTGGCTCCTGTGGGTTAGGCCCCAGGAGCTCAACGGCAGGTTCCAGAAGTACTTCAGCTGCTTCAGGGTGTGAAGAAGATCGAGATCATCCTGCAAGGTAGCATCAGTAGCAATAGAAAATAATACTGTAGTACTGATAGTAATAAAAGCAATAATAGTAATGGTATAAGTGTACTACTAGACAGCGGTGCAATCCTTCGGGACAGTGGGACATGGTTGGAGGTGGTGACTTCCGTGCTTCCCGCCTGTTCCTACCGATCGAACTACGCGACTGCACCACACAGAACCTCAAGGTGAACCGCAGAAACGGGGAGGCATAGGGTGGTGCAACACATCAGCATGTGGGGCTTTGCACCAGGACTTCCTCTTACTAGCTAATGTGAAATCTCGCGTAATCACAGCAGAAAATCTCATATCACATAACCCAAAACCATCCAGGAATTGCAGCAGTACTGGGCCTTCATTTCTCTATATACTACCATGGCGTCGTTTTGAACTGCTGACTCTGACGGATACCACATACTGCTAATGAGAGAATCGTGTGAAACTGAGCGATCCTACTGATTGTGTTGGGCTCCATATATGGCCCAAGGTCGGATCTATTTACTGACATTATGACCCAGCGAAGTGTATTCATAGACTAGATCCCCAGATTTTCGTGCCATCCTCCCAAGTATTCTCCGAGGGGTCCGCTTGGTACGCTGCACGGATTGAGGGTTGAGATCTAAAGCCTCCTATTGCCTGGCGGAATGCACTATCCCTGCGGGCCCCTTATTACATATATACAGGACACACGTATAATCATGTTTTCCGAATGTCTCGTGTCCGGGGCAGGTGTCTACTTTTTGTGACCAAAACTGTTCACCACTAGTTTGAAGTCAGACACAGCGCTCCCTAAAATGTTCGTACCAACTTCGGACTTTGCCGTTGACAGTGTGAGTGGAAGGGCTGACATGCGCAGGAATGCAACTTTGAAGTCTTTCAGGAAGTGCTGGCCCGCAGGCGATGCCTTGAAGAGATATGGGGCCAGGGGGGTTGGAGGGCAGGAGGTAGATCTTGCGGAACAAGTCTAAAGGGAGGCGTATAACAGTGCTTGCAGATGTCATCCGGGTTAAGTCTGGTTTGGACTAAATCACTGCAGACTGTGTTCCCAATGCTTTTGGCACTTACATGTCACTTTCTTCAACTAACCGTTTTATTTCCCACAAACCTGGCGCCAGTTTGAAAGGAGCCCGAATGAGGTTCCATTTTCTTTTGGAGGGTTGCCTGGGGCACTTCGCCCACACAGGCCTTAGAATCTGCACTCTGCAAATCTACTGGCTTCTCAAAATTAGCAAATAATCTCGGCAAACAATCTTAGGAAAACCCCTCTGATACAATGGAATACGTTAATTATAATTACGGATAGTTCTATATAGCCCGGAGAAACGCATCCTTCGGTTGACAAGGACTCGCATAAACAGCTGGCCGATGCTTCATCCTTGACTCATGAGAAGTACTGTTTACTTGGTAAACCCAAACCCAAACAATCCCTAACATGATGAATCCATGGGTCCTTGAACGCAAGGCCAAAGTCGTGAGAGAACACCGGCAGCCTGAAACAGGAATGATGCCCCTTGATAGGATGTATAGCGCTTGCTTTCCGAGGGCTTCCGGTCACCAGAACATGGGTTAAGGCTTGTTAACGCCAGTCGGCGCAGGTGTTGCCCTGTATGAAACCATGCCAGGGCCCGGGTTGAAGTATTCTTGACTTAGGGGTTTGGTAGGGAGTCTACTTCCTCGGTACAATACGACCAATAATCAACGGTAACTATGCAGTGGAACGTGTGTATAATTGGCCATTGTACTCCCTTAGTTAAGGCTTATCAAGGCGTAGGTCTCTCGGTGTCACCAGATAGAAATACTGAGATACCATTGTCGAAAGACAAGACACACGTCCTTGCTACACGCTACGCTAAACAAATGAGAAGCAAACCGAAGGCTACATGCAAGCCTTTCAACACTGAAGCATCAAATCTCTCGTCGGCTAAACTTGCATGCCCGGCCCCACATGCGACGTAAAATCAACAATGAAGAGTTTGGTTGTTACAATAGGGCTGCCAGAAAGACATCCGCCGGCATGATGATTGGTGCTTCTGAGCTCTGCAACAAGCGAAAATTACAACATAGGAAAGTTGACGATCCCAGTCCACTGCACCCACAACCCCGCTTTTCCCTCATTTTTCCATTCGTTACTTGGAAGTCTCTACCTATACCATTCATTACTTCTATCTCTAAATCATCGACTCCGCGGAACAACCGAGTGCACCCCCAACCTGGACAGCGAAACCAACGCGAATCGTACATCCTCGTTGCACAATGCGTTCTTCATCTGCGCCTCGACCGGAAGAAAGAGGGAGGCCCTTAGCGACCCTGGGGATATGTGGGGCTTCAAAAGAGAATTAAGGGGGTCCTTTGAGTGATAAGACCGAAACACTGGACTAGGGAGAACTCCTTATCATATGTTTAATTGTAGACGGTACCTGCGTTACAAGGTCGGTTCGAAGAAAGGGTTGGTCAATGTTTGGAGTGAGGGGAAACATCAAGCTCTCCATCTCATCCAAACAAGGTGACTAAGACAAACAACAGACAACATACACCATAAACACAAGTATAATTTGATCTCTGTGCCTAACCTGCCACTTGGGCAACCTAAGTGTGCGGCTTGATTTTTTTTGGGCGTGGGCTTAGCTGAAGGTAGGCCTGCGCAGAAAATGGGCTGCGCGCAACCCTCCAGTCCTCTCTGCAACATCGAGAATAAGGTTTGGGGTGCAAGGACTTTGCAAGATTTGACACGATGAAGGTCTTAGGAGATACATGGATAGGACTGGAGCGCTTCCAGCCTGGTTTAGCTGATCAGGGCCTCACTCACCAAGCGCAGAATGAACTGGCGAGACCTCTACGTGCGAGAATGCCTCAGCAGAAACCCTCCAGAAGTGCCTTCAACCTTCACAACTAGATGTCCCGGTGCTGCATCTCAAACCTTTGAATCTTCTGCCTCATCTCTCGTATACAAAATGATACATGCAGATACATATATATGTATATAGATATATGTACACAAACATTCATTTACGTGCATTTGATGATAAGAAAACAGATATATATATACACACACACATTTCAACATGTGAGTATATGTATAGAAATCACATGAGAATGTAATGACGACCCTCATAGCACACTGCTCTCACCTCCAGAGCTGTGTCACAAGTCCTGCTCAAGTGTTGTGGCATCACCCTACAATCTTCATACCAGCGCAAATGTGGCTCACCTGAAGCCCTGCCCGTCAGGTTCGTGCATCTAGCGCTGAAGAACCCGAACTTCATCTAATAAACGTGAATTCCTGGAAGGGTATGCGCTGACCAGCATCAGAGCAAGACTTATCAACTTTCTGCACACGCAAACAAGGCCTATCGCACAACCCCATGTTCATTGTAACCGCCCTGCGCACGGGGAAGCCTCAGGAGATTCTTTTTAGCAGGGAATGGAGGAGCGGAACTCTGTAGTAGCCCTATATGATCCCCAATAACCATTTGCATCTGCTGTCTCATTTCTTTCTACTAGATGCATATCCCTGAAATCCAGTTTCCGTTTCTTTTTGCACTTGCTCTTCCGCTTGATTGTTCATTATTCACTACTGCCCCCTAAACCTAGCATGGAAGCCTCAGGAGATTCCTCACCATTGAAGCAGGCCCGCATGGCTTTCAACGCGCAGCGCATAGAGGCAAGAATCTGCGTGCAGTTGATGCCTTGTTCCGAGGTGATTTAAATGTATTCAAGGTTTGGGCGGTTTGAGACTCGCTTGTATTGTTGGGGTATTGACTTTAAGGGTTCAGCGTTTGCGGTCTCGGGTGATCATGCCTAGATTGAAGACCGTCTCTCCGCAGTAGAGGCAACTTGTGCTTTTCTAATTCGATTATTTTGCAAGCGGCAGGCATGATTGATGAGCGCCTTTGTTGATTAGCACTGCTAACTTTCCATTAATGCTTTTACTCCGTTGCTGTTTCCTCGCTCCGTTTTGAAGGTAGGGGCTGCTTGTGTGAAATGTCAAGGTTAGGGTATGGGGCTGTTGAGCCTCTTGTTCTGGAGCTGGGATGTCAGGCTTGCAATCAACGTCAGAGACCTTTCGCCTTTGAAATCTTTCCAGGAGGTGAGTTGGTGGTCTGCTCATGTTCAGTCCCAAAGAGCAGTGTTCATGAGCCGTCTGACGGCTTGAGGGCGTGTGTCAAGGTCTAGAGCGCTGAGACTGCGACTTCGTGAGAGAGATGCTTGCAACTCCAGAGCTCAGTTGCGGCATGGAGTCTAAATAAGCACTGTTAGGTTTGACCACTTATTCAAATCTAAATCTGGTGTTGCGGGCTGCTGAGAGCACATGAGGCTTTGGCGGTGTTTCTGGAGCTTGTGTTGTAAAAGGGAAATTCTCCTGTCTTGCTGGGACGTTGTGCCGCACAGCTTCAGGGAATTTGTGCCACAGCTTGTTTCGGGTCGCAATAGCACTTGCAGCGGCAACTGCAAAGAATAAGCGTATCCAAAGGTGCCCAGCTTGTGTCAACATGTTAATAGCAACTTTAGCAAAAGCACCGGAGAGGATGTTGTCAAAGTCATGATCGTCAGCCAGTCTCGGGATCCGGCGATCGTGGGCTATCCAACTTGCTTGCGTCCTAGTAGCAATCCCCGACCGTGACCCAAAAACAAGACTGGCGTCCCACGTGTGGCGTCCCACGTGACGCCTGAACCCTATTACCCACCAAAACCTGTTCCCTGAACCCGAGAGCCCATACCCCAGAGCCCCAGGCTGTCCAGCTTGTAGTAATTGATCTCGGTGGTTGGCAAGGTCTCCACCACATCTCCACCACGAGCGCGAAGCGGCCGGGCACGAGACCTCTTCATGACTCGAGGGGGGGGGGGGGTTCTTCAAAAGAGAGCTTCAGGGTTAGGGTTCACGGAACAGGGCAGGACTAGACGTTGAGGACTTCTTGCTGAGGGGTTACAGAGCGCAAGATTTCTCAAGATGCAGGTGTGTGCCTCATATCAGCATACTCGGATCCCTAAATATACAACAGTTCCGCTGAGGCTGTGCTGCAGCGCGGATACCCTCGAACGGG